TCTCTCTCTCTCTCTCTCTCTCTCTCTCTCTCTCTCGCTTTACATTTTGATTAATTCAAAATCATTAAGAATCAACCTCTGTTGGTGCAATTTATCCACCAAATTTAGTGCATAAAATTAAAAGTATTTGCATATTGAGTAAAGATGAACCCGATTCCACACTGACCATATGTCCAAAGCACAGGTATATACACAACTTCAAAATAACAATATGTAAACTGATAACATCGATTGAAACAAATCAAATCTTAATAAGTAATACTTAAAGTACTCCAACAATGATGATATATTAAAATTGCAAATGGCTTCAATTATTTACATACAATAATTATGTTTAATACCATTTTCAATCCTAAGCTTATAATTTCGCTTTGAAAATTTGATATACAAATCTATTGATTCTTCAAATCTTCGCTTATTTGATTTCAAACTCCTTTCATTTCATTTAATTTTTAATTAATCTTTTTATTCAGTTCTGTTAGATTCAAAAGTGATTCTGGATCAACAAATACAATCAAAGGGCGTTTATTTGAGGGTTCTCAATTGGTGAATAAGACGTGGGGAGCCGTTAAAAACGCTGGAAGTACAATTAAATCGACTACACAGCAAGCAGCTGCCTTAGCTACAAATCAAATACGGTCGAAACGGACAGTAAAAGAAAAAATCTCTGACGAAATACATAAAATTTTTGATGATTCAGACAGTTTTTATTATTGCCCTGATGCAGATTTTACTAATAATTTACAACGTAGAGATGTGCAAGAGTCTGATGATAGATTTTTCTGGAATAAGCATATGCTTAAGGACATTTTAGTTCTAAAGGTAAGTGTAAAATAAAAAGTTTTTTGATTTATTTTTAATTCTATATTATTTATTATTTATTTTAATTAGGACAATGCATGGGTGCTTCGGATTATTCAAGGTTGGTTGTCTCTGTGTCGAATGGTCAATACAAATATTTTAATTTAATTTTAATGGATTTATTCAAGGGTTTGCACAAGTCGAACACTGTGCAGTTGGTGATGATCGTTTTAGTTTAGCACTTGTTTCAAGGCGTTCACGTTTTCGAGCTGGAACAAGGTAAAATATTCTTAAATTTAAAGAATGATCAATTCATTCAACTAATTTTAAATGAAACAGATACAAACGTCGTGGTATTGATGAAAATGGAAATGTGGCTAACTATGTGGAAACGGAACAAATTTTTATTTTTGGTGAACATCAAATGGCATTCTTTCAAATTCGAGGATCAATACCAGTATATTGGAGCCAACCTACGACCCTCAGATACAGACCCCCTGCGAAAATCGATCGAGGTAATAGAAACTGAATGCACTCAGTAAACATAGTAAAATTAAATTATATGTTTTGAGAGTGGCGTAATTTACGTACATTTTTCATTTCTTCAAAAAGATTAAAAAATCCACAGTAGGTTGTGTAATTGATAAATAATTGCCGGTATTCTAGCACATAATTTCCATCGGAATTATTGTTTATCGGATTTATTGTGGCACAATGTATTCGATTGTTCGAGACTACAGAAAAAAATTGAATCTATTGTTTCATATACAAAAAAATAATTCCGATAAACAATAATTCCGATCGGAATCATTTGGCTAGAATACAGCAACATTTTAGTTTCATTGACAGTGTTTAAACTTTTATTAATTTTTGTTTCTTCATATACAGATGACAATGAAACGCAGATAGCTTTTGCGAAACATTTCGATGGAGAATTGAAATTATACAAGGTGATGTATCTTTAACAAAAAAAAACACACATACACAAAAAAGTTTATTGTACATCGGTTCTTTCAGACTATTTGCATCATAAATCTTGTTGAACAAAGCGGAAAAGAAAAAATTATGTTCGATGCATATGGAAATCATGTTTGTTGTTACAACAATGATCAACTTATTTATGTCACATTCGACTTCCACGAGTATTGGTTAGTGTTTTATTAGTTAGTTATTTTATATTTTTAACAAAAACATTGAAAAGTACAGTGTTTCATATAAAATATTTTCTTTTCCAGTCGCGGAATGCGTTTTGAAAATGTATCTTCGCTGATTTCTGCTCTTGCACCAGAAGCTGTGAGAATGAGTTTCCATTGGCGCGATGCAAAGGGTGCGATTTGTAATCAAAATGCCGTTTTTCGAGTAAATTGTATGGACTGCCTTGATCGAACAAATGTCGTTCAAACCGCAATGGGTCGTGTGGTTTTGGAATCACAGCTAGTAAAAGTTGGCTTAATGCCACCATATTCACAAGTGAGTTTTATGGTCTCTATTACTAATGGAGAATGGCGTGTGAATGAATAATATTTGCAAAAAAATACTTCATTATTGCAGATTCCAAATCAATTAAAATTACCATTTATGTTGCTTTGGGCAAATAATGGAGATATAATAAGTAAACAGTATGCTGGCACTAATGCTTTGAAGGTAATGTGAAATGAAAAAAAAACGACATCAAGCCGAATATTGCGTTAAACATATATTTTGCTACATGCTACGACAACGCCATCTCTGTTTCCCCATGTGTGTAGAGTATGTTCAATATTGACAAATCATTCAAGCGGGTCAATTTTGTACCGCAGAAATAGCTGTCATCGTGAAAATATGTCAACAATATTATTCATTGAAAGAATAACTCAACGCTTTATACCATTTCTCCACTCGTATCTAATTAACATTCAAAGCTTCAGCCCAATGAAAGCTGTTCACAAATGTAGAATAAATGCGAGTGGATCAGGTCATATAAAAATGGTACAAAAACTGTTATAATTTCATAGTCATTCTTTTTGAAATTGATTGTGCCGTGTTTATTTTTTAAAACAATTTTCAAATGCATATTTCTGTAAATCTCATTTCAACGTTTTGAAATATTTGTACAATTCTACGTGAATAATATTTTAATTTTTTTAAACTGAAGTGAAATTTTCAGCATAGAAACAGCTTCTGCTGCAAGACCAAAGATGTCGTTTTCGGGGGAGATTCGTGTGACGTTTTCATAAAAAACATATAGCGCATTACTCGGTTAACGACATCCATTATATGACGGCCTTAGAAGAAAACAATAACATACAGAACATGCTGCAAATAATACTAATACAAATTTTATGCGAGCAAATGCAAAACCAACATGTGTTTCTTATGTAAGTAGGCTGGTTTTGCGTTTGCCTTTTGCGCTATCTCTTCACAGAAACAAGTATTTCGAGTACGCTTACTCGCACTTGCGGTGTTAGTAGAGGCTTTACCCCTCAAAATGAGTTACGCACTCTATTTAACTCTATTTTCGGTGTTAGTTTCATCGAATTAAACGCATCACAGTGAAAAAAGAGATACATGTGTAGTACACAAGGACCGGTTCGTGCATATTTCCATGCTTGCCTAGATACGCTAGGTAGCATAGATATGCCAAGCATAGCGGCAAATGCAACCGACGCATCGCCGTCCACTCTGTATGAACATATACACATGTGCTTTGAGAGTCGTACGCATAAGATATAGATCGAATCGAATGGCGACGGATGCGTTGCGGCTGGCGTCTCCGCTATGCTTAGCATAGCTATCTTGCATAGAAATATGCGCGAACCGGTCCCTGGCTAGTACATATGTACGTTATGTTTCGTTGCGTGCATATGAGTCTGTGTATACGCTAACGAATATGATTGCTAAGTGTATCGTCACATACGTTCGATGAAACTAACACCAAAAATAGAGTAAAATAGAGTTCGTAACTCATTTGGAGAGGTAAAGTCTCTACTAACACCGCAAGTGCGGGTAAGCGTACTCGAATACTTGTTTCTGTGTTTATATATTTGGTTTTTGCTCGCATAAAATTTGTATTGCTTAATGTGAAACGTAGTTTTATACATTAAGCTATGGAATAGTAAGATATATATATATATATACAGGGTGTCTCAAATAATAGGGCCGTTCTAAAAATTTTAAAATTTCAAAAAACCCTTTGGGGGGTATGTTGGGGGTAAAAAATAGAAAATTTCTATCGGAGCAGAATTTTGAATTTTTCCCCAGAGGGCGCAGGGGGGGTCGATTTTCCCTAAAAATGAGTATCTTGCCAAATCGATCAAAATAAAATGAAAAATAAGTTTGAATATTTATCCATCTATGGTTGCAATGTGTTCTAGGGATCTCCCTCTACAAGATAGACCCACTTGTAGGTCGATCAAAATGCAAGGGGGGAGGGGGAGGTGTCATGAACAATAATTTTTTTCTTCTTCATTTATTTCAAAATTGCGATATGAAAATCAATTTTTTTTTCTTCTATCATATTGCTAGAGTCCATCCCTACAAAAAAAAATAGTTTTTAGAAAAAATCATTTTGATTTGAGCCGGCCCGAGGCCGATTTTCTGGCCATCATGTCGATTTTGACCCTATTTTTTCATATTTTTGAAATTTTTGTATGAAAGTATGACAGACTACCCCTATTTTTCTTGTTTTTATCGTGTTCTACGCAAGATTTCCCATAAGATAGACCAGTTTAAACATCCCAAAAAAATTTTTTTCGACGACAAGAGGCCCATCGGTTGGTCGTCGAATCGATTTTTTCACACTTCGCCCGATATTCTGCGATTTTTACGAAAATTATTCAAATTGTCTACGGCTTTTTTGCTTCCTTTGTGTTCCTAGAGTGTTTCTCTGCAAATAATAACAGTGTTTGGAT